AGACTCAACACTGCCACCCATAGACTCAACGCTGTCACCCATAGACTCAGCACTGCCACCCATAGACTCAGCACTGCCACCCATAGACTCAGCACTGCTACCCATAGACTCAGCACTGCTACCCATAGACTCAACACTGCCACCCATAGACTCAGCACTGCCACCCGTAGACTCAACACTGCCACCTATAGACTCAACACTGCTACCCGTAGACTCAACACTGCCACCCATAGACTCAACACTGTCACCCATAGACTCAACACTGCCACCTATAGACTCAACACTGCTACCCGTAGACTCAGCACTGCCACCCATAGACTCAGCACTGCCCATTGACTCAACACTGCTACCCATAGACTCAGCACTGCCACCCATAGACTCAGCACTGCTACCCATAGACTCAGCACTGCTACCCATAGACTCAGCACTGTCACCCATAGACTCAGCACTGTCACCCATAGACTCAACACTGCTACCCATAGACTCAACACTGCCACCCATAGACTCAACACTGCCACCCGTAGACTCAACACTGCCACCCATAGACTCAACACTGCTACCCATAGACTCAACACTGTCACCCATAGACTCAGCACTGCCACCCATAGACTCAACACTGCCACCCATAGACTCAACACTGTCACCCATAGACTCAACACTGCCACCCATAGACTCAACACTGCCACCCGTAGACTCAACACTGCCACCCATAGACTCAACACTGCTACCCATAGACTCAACACTGTCACCCATAGACTCAGCACTGCCACCCATAGACTCAACACTGCCACCCGTAGACTCAACACTGCCACCCATAGACTCAACACTGCCACCCATAGACTCAACACTGCCACCCATAGACTCAACACTGCCACCCATAGACTCAGCACTGCCCATAAACTTTATAATAATATGGCCAGAAACTCTGAAATACAGTCCTATACAGTATACCCATCATACGCGTCTTTGTGTTGGACTGTGAGTGTGGGGAGCGGTGGTGCAGTGGTTAGCGCACTGTGTGTGTGTGGAGCGGTGGTGCAGTGGTTAGCGCACTGTGTGTGTGAGCAGTGGTGGTGCAGTGGTTAGCGCACTGTGTGTGTGTGGGGAGCGGTGGTGCAGTGGTTAGCGCACTGTGTGTGTGAGCAGCGGTAGTGCAGTGGTTAGCGCACTGTGTGTGTGTGGGGAGCGGTGGTGCAGTGGTTAGCGCACTGTGTGTGTGTGGGGAGCGGTGGTGCAGCGGTTAGCGCGCTGTGTGTGTGTGTGGAGAGCGGTGGTGCAGTGGTTAGCGCACTGTGTGAGTGTGTGTGGGGAGCGTTGGTGCAGTGGTTAGCGCACTGTGGGGAGTGGTGGTGCAGTGGTTAGCGCACTGTGTGTGTGGCTATGGGGAGCGGTGGTGCAACGGTTAGCGCACTGTGTGTGTGGCTATGGGGAGCGGTGGTGCAGCGGTTAGCGCACTGTGTGTGTGTGTGTGTGGGGAGCGGTGGTGCAGTGGTTAGCGCACTGTGTGTGTGGGGAGTGGTGGTGCAGTGGTTAGCGCACTGTGTGTGTGTGTGGGGAGTGGTGGTGCAGTGGTTAGCGCACTGTGTGTGTGTGTGGGGAGTGGTGGTGCAGTGGTTAGCGCACTGTGTGTGTGTGTGGGGAGTGGTGGTGCAGTGGTTAGCGCACTGTGTGTGTGGCTATGGGGAGCGGTGGTGCAGTGGTTAGCGCACTGTGTGTGTGAGTGGGGAGCGGTGGTACAGTGGTTAGCGCACTGTGTGTGTGGCTATGGGGAGCGGTGGTGCAGCGGTTAGCGCACTGTGTGTGTGGCTATGGGGAGCGGTGGTGCAGTGGTTAGCGCACTGTGTGTGTGTGTGGGGAGCGGTGGTGCAGTGGTTAGCACACTGTGTGTGTGTGTGGGGAGCGGTGGTGCAGTGGTTAGCACACTGTGTGTGTTTGGGGAGCGGTGGTGCAGTGGTTAGCGCACTGTGTGTGTGGAGCGGTGGTGCAGTGGTTAGCGCACCGTGTGTGTGGCTTTGGGGAGCGGTGGTGCAGTGGTTAGCGCACTGTGTGTGTGGGGAGCGGTGGTGCAGTGGTTAGCGCACTGTGTGTGTGTGTGGGGAGCGGTGGTGCAGTGGTTAGCGCACTGTGTGTGTGGGGAGCGGTGGTGCAGTGGTTAGCACACTGTGTGTGTGTGTGGGGAGCGGTGGTGCATTGGTTAGCACACTGTGTGTGTGGCTTTGGGGAGCGGTGGTGCAGTGGTTAGCGCACTGTGTGTGTGTGTGGGGAGTGGTGGTGCAGTGGTTAGCGCACTGTGTGTGTGGGGAGCGGTGGTGCAGTGGTTAGCACACTGTGTGTGTGTGTGGGGAGCGGTGGTGCATTGGTTAGCACACTGTGTGTGTGTGTGGGGAGCGGTGGTGCAGTGGTTAGCGCACTGTGTGTGTGTGGGGAGCGGTGGTGCAGTGGTTAGCGCACTGTGTGTGTGTGGGGAGCGGTGGTGCAGCGGTTAGCGCACTGTGTGTGTGTGAGTGGGGAGCGGTGGTGCAGTGGTTAGCGCACTGTGTGTGTGTGTGGGGAGCGGTGGTGCAGTGGTTAGCGCACTGTGTGTGTGTGTGTGTGGGGAGCGGTGGTGCAGTGGTTAGCGCACTGTGTGTGTGTGGGGAGCGGTGGTGCAGTGGTTAGCGCACTGTGTGTGTGTGTGTGTGGGGAGCGGTGGTGCAGTGGTTAGCGCACTGTGTGTGTGTGGGGAGCGGTGGTGCAGTGGTTAGCGCACTGTGTGTGTGTGGGGAGCGGTGGTGGGCACTGCTGCTGTTGCTGCTGCTGCTCCTACTTCGCTAACGGCACTTGCCCCTGCGGTCTGTGAGAGGCTACACGGGGGATCTTTGGTGCGTGGAGGAGCCAATGACCGCTACTCGCGGTGTCAAGGTCGGCCTCTGTGGAGGTGGGGGAGGCTCGTGCCGGGCTTTTGTGCCAGGCTAGGTGCACCTTGCGGGGCGCCGCCGGGCACGTCGACAGCGCGAGGGGCGGAGGAGCGACGCTCACAACAGCGAGCGGAGCGTCGGGCGGATAAAACTACGGCGAGTTGGCACAGTAGGGGCTAGAGCCTGATGCGGTGCATCTACCGGTCAACCCATGGCACTTGCTGGGTCTGTCACGTGACCTCCAAGTGCACCTAGCCTGGCACAGCAGTACAAGCCATGGCACCTGCAGGGTCCGTCACGTGACCTCCAAGTGCACCTAGCCTGGCACAGCAGTCAACCCATGGCACCTGCAGGGGCTGGCACGTGACCTCCTGCACCTAGCCTGGCACAGCAGCACAACCCATGGCACCTGCAGGGGCTGGCACGTGACCTCCTCCTGCACCTAGCCTGGCACAGCAGTCAACCCATGGCACCTGCAGGGGCTGGCACGTGACCTCCAAGTGCACCTAGCCTGGCACAGCAGTACAAGCCATGGCACCTGCAGGGTCTGTCACGTGACCTCCAAGTGCACCTAGCCTGGCACAGCAGTACAACCCATGGCACTTGCTGGGTCTGTCACGTGACCTCCTCCTGCACGTAGCCTGGCACAGCAGTACAAGCCATGGCACCTGCAGGGTCTGTCACGTGACCTCCAAGTGCACCTAGCCTGGCACAGCAGTACAACCCATGGCACTTGCTGGGTCTGTCACGTGACCTCCTCCTGCACGTAGCCTGGCACAGCAGTCAACCCATGGCACCTGCAGGGGCTGGCACGTGACCTCCAAGTGCACCTAGCCTGGCACAGCAGTCAACCCATGTGGCACCTGCAGGGTCCGTCACGTGACCTCATCCTCCTGCACCTAGCCTGGCACTGCAGTACAACCCATGGCACCTGCAGGGTCCGTCACGTGACCTCCAAGTGCACCTAGCCTGGCACAGCAGTACAACCCATGGCACCTGCAGGTTCTGTCACGTGACCTCCAAGTGCACCTAGCCTGGCACAGCAGTACAACCCATGGCACCTGCAGGGCCTGTCACGTGACCTCCAAGTGCACCTAGCCTGGCACAGGCGCCGTGGTGCCAGTGACACCGGTGACAGCGGCCTCGCCCAACCCCTAGGTCGACTCGGCAATAAAATTGCACGCGCGCTGACGTCATCATGCGCATGACGTAATCACGTCGGTCGCTGCCTCCCAACGTAACACGAGGGAGGACTTTCCCTGTACGCGCTGATGTCATCACGCGCATAACGTAATCACGTCGACCACTCCTCCCCACGTAACCCAATGAGGGAGGACTCTCTCCGTGCGCGCTGACGTCATCCCGCGCATGACGTAATGACGCCGACCACTCCTCCCAACGTAACTCAATGGAGGGGTGAGTGAGAGGTCAACCTTACGCCCTTACGTCATCACGCACGTGACGTCACTACGCCGACCACGCCTCCCGACCCTATGGAGGAGGGGGGTGTGTCAGTCGTACGCGATGACGCCACCACGTCGACCACGCCTCCCAACCCAATGGCGCGGGGTGGGGGGTCACCCGTACAAGCTGACGTCGGCACTTCGACCACTCCTCCCAACGTAACCCAATGGAGGAGGGTGGGCGTGGTCAACGGTACGCGCTGACGTCACCACGCCGCCCAACGTACCCCAACGGAGGAGGGTGTGTGCGTGGTCAAACGGTACGCGCTGACGTCACCACGCCGCCCAACGTACCCCAACGGAGGAGTGGTAGGGGCGTGGTCAGCGGTACGCGCTGACGTCACCACGCCGCCCAACGTACCCCAACGGAGGAGGGTGTGTGTGGTCAACGGTACGCGCTGACGTCACCACGCTGCCCAACGGAGTAGGAGTGGAGCGTGGTCAACGGTACGCGCTGACGTCACAACGTACCCCAACGGAGGAGTGGAGCGTGGTCAACGGTACGCGCTGACGTCACAACGTACCCCAACGGAGGAGGAGTGGGGCGTGGTCAACGGCACGCGCTGACGTCACCACGCTGCCCAACGGAGCCGTGGTGGGGCGTGGTCAACGGTACGCGCTGACGTCACCACGCCCCGCCCCCGCCCCCCACCGATCTCTGCAGGCACGAGGGTGGCTTGAGGCAGCTGAAAGGGCGCGCGTGTTGGTGGTGAGTCTCGTGGTGACAGCTGTCACCTCCAGCGCCTTACACAACAACAACAACAACTCAGCAACAACAACAACAACAGGTGGCCATGGGCGTCAGTCGTCGTTGTTGTTGTTGTTGTGGTGAGCAGTGGCCTGGTGGAGACGTCGCCTAGATGGCCGCTGAGGCCTACGGCGTGGTGATACTAGTGGTGGTGATGGTGGTAGTGGTGGTGATGGTGGTAGTGGTGGTGATGGTGGTAGTGGTGGTGATGGTGGTAGTGGTGGTGGTAGTGGTGGTGATGGTGGTGGTGGTGGTGATGGTGGTAGTGGTGGTGGTAGTGGTGGTGATGGTGGTGGTGGTGGTGATGGTGGTAGTGGTGGTGGTAGTGGTGGTGATGGTGGTGGTGGTGATGGTGGTGGTGGTGATGGTGGTAGTGGTGGTGGTAGTGGTGGTGATGGTGGTGGTGGTGATGGTGGTAGTGGTGGTGGTAGTGGTGGTGATGGTGGTGGTGGTGATGGTGGTGGTGGTAGTGGTGGTGATGGTGGTGGTGGTGATGGTGGTAGTGGTGGTGGTAGTGGTGGTGATGGTGGTGGTGGTGATGGTGGTGGTGGTAGTGGTGGTGATGGTGGTGGTGGTGATGGTGGTAGTGGTGGTGGTAGTGGTGGTGATGGTGGTAGTGGTGGTGATGGTGGTGGTGATGGTGGTGGTGGTAGTGGTGGTGATGGTGGTGGTGGTGATGGTGGTAGTGGTGGTGGTAGTGGTGGTGATGGTGGTAGTGGTGGTGATGGTGGTGGTGATGGTGGTGATGGTGGTGGTGGTGGTGGTGGTGATGGTGGTGGTGGTGATGGTGGTAGTGGTGGTGGTAGTGGTGGTGATGGTGGTGGTGGTGATGGTGGTGGTGGTAGTGGTGGTGATGGTGGTGGTGGTGATGGTGGTAGTGGTGGTGGTAGTGGTGGTGATGGTGGTAGTGGTGGTGATGGTGGTGGTGATGGTGGTGGTGGTAGTGGTGGTGATGGTGGTGGTGGTGATGGTGGTAGTGGTGGTGGTAGTGGTGGTGATGGTGGTAGTGGTGGTGATGGTGGTGGTGATGGTGGTGATGGTGGTGGTGGTAGTGGTGGTGATGGTGGTGGTGGTGATGGTGGTAGTGGTGGTGGTAGTGGTGGTGATGGTGGTGGTGGTGATGGTGGTGGTGGTAGTGGTGGTGATGGTGGTGGTGGTGATGGTGGTAGTGGTGGTGGTAGTGGTGGTGATGGTGGTAGTGGTGGTGATGGTGGTGATGGTGGTAGTGGTGGTGGTGGTGATGGTGATAGTGGTGGTGATAGTGGTGGTGGTGATGGTGGTGGTGATGGTGGTGGTGATGGTGGTGGTGGTAGTGGTGATGGTGGTAGTGGTGGTGGTGGTGGCGATGGTGGTGGTGGTGATGCAATTTGTCGTGGTGATGGTGGTGATGGTGATGGTGGTGGCGATGGTGGTGGTGGTGATGCAATTTGTCGTGGTGATGGTGGTGGTGATGGTGGTGGTGATGGTGGTGGTGATGGTGGTGGTGCTGATGATGGTGGTGGTGCTGATGATGGTGGTGGTGCTGATGATGGTGGTGGTGCTGATGATGGTGGTGGTGGTGATGGTGGTGGTGGTGATGGTGGTGGTGGTGATGGTGGTGGTGATGGTGGTGATGCAATTTGTCGTGGTGATGGTGGTGGTGGTGATGGTGGTGATGGTGGTGGTGATGGTGGTGGTGATGGTGGTGGTGCTGATGGTGGTGGTGGTGATGGTGGTGGTGGTGATGGTGGTGGTGGTGATGGTGGTGGTGATGGTGGTGGTGATGATGGTGGTGATGGTGGTGGTGGTGATGATGGTGGTGGTGGTGGTGATGGTGGTGATGCAATTTGTCGTGGTGATGGTGGTGGTGATGGTGGTGGTGATGGTGGTGGTGATGGTGGTGGTGCTGATGATGGTGGTGGTGCTGATGATGGTGGTGGTGGTGATGGTGGTGGTGGTGATGGTGGTGGTGGTGATGGTGGTGGTGATGGTGGTGATGCAATTTGTCGTGGTGATGGTGGTGGTGGTGATGGTGGTGGTGATGGTGGTGGTGATGGTGGTGGTGATGGTGGTGGTGCTGATGATGGTGGTGGTGGTGATGGTGGTGGTGGTGATGGTGGTGGTGGTGATGGTGGTGGTGGTGATGATGGTGGTGATGGTGGTGATAGTGGTGGTGGTGATAGTGGTGGTGTGGGTGGTGGTGTGGGTGGTGGTGATGGTGGTGGTGATGGTGGTGGTGATGGTGGTGGTGTGGGTGGTGATGGTGGTGGTGATGGTGATGATGGTGGTGATGCAATTTGTGGTGGTGGTGGTGATGGTGGTGGTGATGGTGGTGATCGTGGTGATGCAATTTGTCGTGGTGATGGTGGTGGTGGTGATGGTGGTGATGGTGATGGTGGTGATGCAATTTGTCGTGGTGATGGTGGTGGTGATGGTGGTGGTGGTGATGGTGGTGGTGGTGGGGATGCTGGTGGTGGTGGTGATGATGGTGGTGGTGGTGGTGATGATGGTGGTGATGGTGGTGATAGTGGTGGTGGTGATAGTGGTGGTGTGGGTGGTGGTGTGGGTGGTGGTGATGGTGGTGGTGATGGTGGTGGTGATGGTGGTGATGGTGGTGGTGTGGGTGGTGATGGTGGTGGTGATGGTGATGATGGTGGTGATGCAATTTGTGGTGGTGGTGGTGGTGATGGTGGTGGTGATGGTGGTGATCGTGGTGATGCAATTTGTCGTGGTGATGGTGGTGGTGGTGATGGTGGTGATGGTGATGGTGGTGATGCAATTTGTCGTGGTGATGGTGGTGGTGATGATGGTGGTGGTGATGGTGGTGGTGGTGATGCAATTTGTCGTGGTGATGGTGATGATGGTGGTGGTGGTGATGGTGGTGGTGGTGATGGTGGTGGTGGTGGTGGTGATGCAATTTGTCGTGGTGATGATGGTGGTGGTGGTGATGGTGGTGGTGGTGATGGTGGTGGTGATGGTGGTGGTCGTGGTGATGGTAATGATGGTGATGGTGGTGATGGTGATGATGGTGGTGGTGATGGTGGTGATAGTGGTGATGGTGGTGATAGTGGTGATGGTGGTGATGGTAATGATGGTGATGGTGGTGGTGATGGTGGTGGTGATGCAATTTGTCATGGTGATGGTGATGGTGGTGATGATGGTGGTGGTGGTGATGGTGTTGGTGGTGGTGATGGTGGTGGTGATGGTGGTGGTGTCACAGACTCACCACACAGACACCCACAGACTCACCACACAGGGACCCACAGACTCACCACACAGACACACAGACTCACCACACAGGGACCCACAGACTCACCACACAGAGACCCACAGACTCACCACACAGACACCCACAGACTCACCACACAGAGACCCACAGACTCACCACACAGAGACCCACAGACTCACCACACAGAGACTCACAGACTCACCACACAGAGACTCACAGACTCACCACACAGACACCCACAGACTCACCACACAGAGACCCACAAACTCACAACACAGAGACCCACAGACTCACCACACAGAGACCCACAGACTCACCACACAGAGACTCACAGACTCACCACACATAGACCCACAGACTCACAACACAGAGACCCACAGACTCACCACACAGACTCACAGACTCACCACATATAGACCCACAGACTCACCACACAGAGACCCACAGACTCACAACACAGAAACCCACAGACTCACCACACAGAGACCCACAGACTCACCACACAGAGACCCACAAACTCACAACACAGAGACCCACAGACTCACCACACAGAGACCCACAGACTCACCACACAGAGACACACAGACTCACCACACAGAGACACACAGACTCACCACACAGAGACCCACAGACTCACCACACAGACACCCACAGACTCACCACACAGACACCCACACACTCAACACACAGAGACCCACAGACTCACAACACAGAGACCCACAGACTCACCACACAGAGACCCACAGACTCACCACACAGAGACCCACAGACTCACATCACAGAGACCCACAGACTCACCACACAGAGACCCACAGACTCACCACACAGACACCCACAGACTCACCACACAGAGACCTACAGACTCACCACACAGAGACCCACAGACTCACCACACAGACACCCACAGACTCACCACACAGAAACTCACAGAGACCCACAGACTCACCACACAGAGACCCACAGACTCTCCACACAGAGACCCACAGACTCACCACACAGAGACCCACAGACTCATCACACAGAGACCCACAGTCTCACCACACAGAGACCCACAGACTCACCACACAGAGACCCACAGACTCACCACACAGAGACCCATAGACTCTCCACACAGAGATCCACAGACTCACCACACAGAGACCCACAGACTCACCACACAGAGACCCACAGACTCACCACACAGAGACCCACAGACTCACCACACAGACCCACAATGACCTGGGAATGTGGTGTTGTGCAATGCCGACCTTGTGAAAGCACGGGGAGCCGAGTTGAGTCTGGGAGGGGTGTTGGTGGTGATGATATGGTGTGTTGGTGGTGGGGTTAGGGGTGGTGGTGGTGGTGATATAGTGTGGTGGTGGTGGGGTTAGGGGTGGTGGTGGTGGTGATATGGTGTGATGGTGGGGTTAGGGGTGGTGGTGGTGGTGATATGGTGTGTTGTTGGTGGTGGGGTTAGTGGTGGTGGTGGTGGGGTTAGGGGTGGTGGTGGTGGTGGTGATATGGTGTGGTGGTTGTGGGGTTAGGGGTGGTGGTAGTGGTGATATGGTGTGTTGGTGGTGGTGGGGTTAGGGGTGGTGGTGGTGGTGGTGATATGGTGTGGTGGTGGTGGGGTTAGGGGTGGTGGTAGTGGTGATATGGTGTGTTGGTGTTGGTGGGGTTAGGGGTGGTGGTGGTGGTGATATGGTGTGTTGGTGGTGGTGGGGTTAGGGGTGGTGGTAGTGGTGATATGGTGTGTTGGTGGTGGTGGGGTTAGGGGTGGTGGTGGTGGTGATATGGTGTGTTGGTGGTGGGGTTTAGGGGTCGTGGTGGGGTTAGGGGTGGTGGTGGTGGTG